GTAAATATACTCTATATTTTTTATTTCAATCAAATGTTCCATCGTCCCATGGAAACATGTTTCGCAAAGTGGGACAGTATGATTTGCCTAATGTGGGACAGTTCTTCAGTTAGGCAAAAATGTGTGGAGGGGCATGGATTGTGCAAGAGCAATGGTTATTTACAGGGTTTTAGTCTTCTAATGCATTTTTTAGATATTTAAGGTGATGGGCAAATTCTATTAAATAATTGGGGGTCTGTTAAAATGGTATGACAAAGTCAGGGAGAATGTTAGGGATAAATGTCTGAGTTTAGAAGATGGCAATGAATTTAAGCCCAAATATTCATAGTAATTTAACAAATCCTTCCAACACACGTTTTATTCTGTGCATATTAATAATGAATTGAATGCATTTTAGATCACATTGGCAAAGGAGAGAAATAAGACAGGGAGAGAATCGCAGACACAGAAAAAGTCAAAGCAGGCAAAGAATAATGGAGGAAAGGCAGGTCAGGGAAGGAAACTGAATCAGTGGAGGAAGGACAGGATGAGGGCAGCCATAGAAGAGTATTGACAGATCATTGAGGATGGTGGGGTTCCTCAGCTGAGGCTGTTGGCCAGGGCCTGGACCGTTCCTAAATCCACTCTCCAGCGCAGGGTAAAAGGCAATGGTCACTTTCATCATACGATTGGAAGAAAGCCATTCATTCATGAGAAGGATGAAGCAGAACTGGAGGAGATGATTGCAACCCGAAAACGTGGATTCCCCCTGAGGTTGGACGACAACAGAGGAATGGCCTTTTCAGTTTGCCGAAAAAAAAGGAATAAAAGGCTTCAGTCAAATCACAAAAAAGGCTGGCTATAGATGGTTGAGCATGCACAAACCAGGGGCGCTCTCAGCGGCAAGAGCAGCAGGGTTCAACCCCACTGTTGTGAAGAAGTGGTTTGAAAAGTATAAGGACACGATTGAGACCCTGGGGTTGAAAAATGTCCCAGGCCACATCTGGAATTGTGACGAAACAGGGCTCCAGGATCACTTCCTGTCCACCAGGGTGGTTGCAGAAGTTGGGGCACCCTGTTTTGAGGTCACTGGTGGAGAGAAAGGTCAAACCACCACCTGTCTGGCGTGCATCAATGCTGCTGGTGGGTATGGACCCACAATGATTATTTTCAAAGGCAAGCGGATGAAGGCAGAATGGCTCTTCGGGGCTCCGAAGAATACCTTCGTAAAGATGTCCGATAATGGCTGGATGAATAGTGACTTGTTCACAGAATGGGGGAATAGGTTTCTGCAAAGCCTTCCAAAAAAGTATCCACGACCCCATCTGCTCCTTGTTGATGGTCACACCTCGATGTGTACAACATCGACTTTTTGAATTTGATGAGAGAGAACAACGTCACTGTATTTAGCCTACCCCCTCACACAACTCACTATCTGCAGCCAGCAGACAGAGAGTGGAGGGAAACGGCTTGACAGGGCATTGTTCATGCCACTGTTTTCAAAGGCCTGGATGAAAGCTGCTACACCACTGAATGGCCAGGCTGGCTTTCGAGGGTCAGGGATATACCCATTCAACCCTGCCAAGATCAATGAGAATCTGTTCATGCCATCTCAAACATCTGAGAGATGCTTTCAAGAGACTCCAGTGGCCCCAGATGAGATGCTCTTTCTTGCACCAGCAACCCCGTGTCATCCTCCACATGATGATGATGATGTTGATTCCTGCCATCCACACATGTGGGAACTTCTGGAGCAGACCCCATGCCACCCTCTGCATGATGCTGTTCAGCCAGCAATCTCCCCTCCTCAGCGCTCTCCACCATTGTCCCCCATTGTAACCCCACCACCTTTGGCAGAGGAGGTTGAAGTAGTGACACAGCTAGAGGTCTCCTTCAAATCTCTGATTACACTTCCAGTAAGAGAACGCCCAAGCACCAGCCGCCAGAGGGCCAAACCTCCTTCCTATAGTTTGACTAGCGACAGCCATTTTGCTTTCATCAAAGAGAAAGGGGGAAAGAAAAAGGAGAAAAAGCAAAAACCTAAGGAGAAGAACACTGCACAAGTGATCCAAGAAGCGTGTGCAATCTGCCAGCATTCATATGGGGACAGAAAGGACCCCAAGTCCACAGAGAAATGGCTTTCGTTTGCAGTCTGTTTCCAGTGGTTCCATGAAAGCTGTGCAGAGGATAATGGGGTTTTGGATGATGATGGCTCCTTGACATGCAAGGACTGCTTGCTTCCAGACATGTAATGTTGTAAGCAATTGTTTGAGGCAGGTTCATGTTTGTGTGTGTTGTGTTGCCTTCAAATATAGGCTACCTGTTAAAGGTGTATGTGTTCCCTGTGAAATAAATTGTAATGATTTTAGATTTTGATAACATTTTAACTTTTGTAATTAACAGCAGCATGTTGTAAGCAATTGTTTTACGCAGGTTTAGGTTTTATGTGTTGCCTCAATGTTTGATATGTTGCCTTCAAATACACCTGCAGTTGTATGTGTTCCCTGTGAAATACAATGATTTTTGAAAACTATTAGAATCTATTGTTGTTTGATGATGTTTGATTCTCACAACAAAAAAAATAAGTTAACATCCACACATATAAGCCTAAATGTTGTAACAGCAATAACATTATAAATAATAAAATAGCTGAACATGGTATTGCACATTTAGCTCAGTGTTACTGACCTGAGATGTTTTATTACAATAATAAATAAAAAAATATGTATTAATTAAGGTGACTGAGGCTTTTCAACATTTCAGTGTCCCACATTTTGCACAGAACTGTCCCACATTAGGAAAAGCAGATTGTCTGAGACAACTTGGCACTAAGAGTACTGATATGTCCACCATTTATTTTACGAGTGTAATATCTGCATTTTCTCTTTTGGTTTGATTAGGACACATCCTGGGGATTTCAGAATGGTACTGGATGTTGATTTATTGTATTGGCTTCATATCGCAATATATTCCAGAAGTCTGAAATGCAAAAAATGTCCCACATTAGGGCAATTCACCCTAAGTTCACAACTGTCCACATATCTTTGTGTCTTCAGGTCCTCAACCTGTTTCACTCACTGCTCTGACAACAGGTGTGTGCACACACACACTGTCTGTACGTTTCTCCTGTCCCTGTCAAAGCACAGCTACTAAACACCACCTTTCAATCCTTAAAGTTGAGCTTCTACAGAGGAGCTTAATTTCTATAAGCCTTTCTCCTGCATTTGGTGACATTTGCATTTCCCCCCCTGCAGAATTGGCAGATGGGTTTTATTTAGTAGAGAAATATGCCTTCAGGCTGAGAGGTTTTCTTGTTCTCTGCATGATACTGGGCATCTTTAAAAATGTTTTTATACCATCTGCATTTTGTCCGCATCACAACAGAGACTGAGGATAAAAAGCCATTTTAAAATGACAAAATGAGAGCAATAGATAAAATGACTAAAAGATAACCACAAAGAGAAACAAAACAACAGAGAGGTGCTTAATGACAACACGTGGTAGGGCTTTTTGAATGTCCTTGTCTCATAATCTGCCAGAAGTCAATATTATAAATAAGAAAAAAAACCATGAGGCATTGTGAGCGATTATGTGGACAGTTGATGGCATAAACCTCTTCATTTGTTTCATTGTTCCTTGTAAATGACCTGCTAATGTGTTTGTGTGAAGATGAAATGTAAAGGAAAGAGCCGAGAAAACAGAGCGAGCAAAAACAAAATCAATGAAGCATCTCTTTGAATCTAAATACTTATCCTTGAGCCCGGGCCTGATGGGGATTGATGGGCCTCCTCACTTTGTTCCAGGTCCTGGGGCTTTGAAAGGATGTGAATGCATGCTGTGTGGATTGATGGGCGGCTGTTAGGGCTTCAGGTTCCTCTCTTATCAGCCGAGATGTAATTGATTTATGGAGAGCTGGTTTGAATCACAACAGGGATGCAAGTGTGCTGATTTAGCCACTTAACACAGAAACAGGGCCGCTGAGAGCAGGTTGCTCTGTTTTAGAACAGAAGAAAACAAAGTAATCCACCTACCATGTGCTATACCAAATGTGACATAAGGGTGATGCTTTTATTCACTTTAATATGTGGTTATTTATTTTTCTATGTTTGTCTTGGAACAGAAATCTTGCCGGAATAATGACTTGTGACTTGATGCTGTGATGTAATGACAACATAATTCACACAACGAGGGCCCATATCATTACACTTAACATATTAGCTCCAGTTTAAGTCTGCTTCTAGTATGAGTAACCATGGCAACGGGCATTATCTACAGTACAGTAGGTTTCCAGAAGCATCTAGTGTAGCTATGTGACACACACACACACACACACACACACACACACACACACACACACACACACACACACACACACACACACACACACACACACACACACACACACACACACACACACTTAATATCTTCACTGGTCACTTGCTTTTTTTACTAACAATGACCTGTCTTTATTATTTGTATTTACTTAATTTTCTAAAATGTGAAATGATTATAATTCACACCAGATTACATCATTACTTGAAATGGCCTTTTCCTTTATGCCTTGAGCTCATAATTGGTATTAACCCAGAATTAACCATTTTAAATGTACTCATAAATCAAGTAACATCAGTTTTACTATGTCATTATTTCTGGTGCTTTGTTATTTTGGGCAAGAAAACACAATATAACACAGGCCATCAGTATTTGAGCTTCACATCTGAGAACTTCAGTCATGGTGTGCGTAGCTGCATTGAACCTGGTTGTCGTGTTTCTCAGCCGCTGGATATCTCCAGCTTTGGATGCGCAGTTTAAGTTCACGCAGTCCATGGTGCTGAACCCCCCTCCTCATGTTGGATTGGTATCTGCCGGGTCGAGTCGGGACCTCACTTGTTGCACACAGCTGATAAGACTGAACATTGGTGCAAAAGCTTACATTACATTACACACAGCTTTTTTTATTTTGGACCTGCTTGCGCATGCGAAGAAGAAAGCTGATGCCACTTGCTTAAACAGATGACTGTGTTGAGGGTATCGATCGCTCTCAATGCGCACAGCAGGTTATGCGCGTTTTCCCATAAACATCTGAACCTAGTAAGACACATTTCGTAGTTTTTTATTTTCCCGCACGCCTCTCCTGCTACTACGTTTTACGCAACAGGCTTTCAGCACCAATGTGAAGTGCACGCTGAGTAGCAGTACCACCTGTAACTGTGCCCGTCTAACCCCCACTTTCATGCCGACACCGAGGATGAAGAAGCAAAACATCCGGACCCTGTCGCTCATCCTCTGCATGTTCTCCTACCTGCTCGTGGGCGCCGCGGTGTTTGACGCGCTGGAGTCCGAGTCGGAGAGCTCCCGCAGACGCATCTTGGAGCAGAAGCGCAACGAGATGAAGAAGAAGTACCGCTTCTCCGAGGACGACTACTACGAAATCGAGCGGGTGGTGCTGCAAGCTGAGCCCCATCGAGCCGGGAGACAGTGGAAATTTGCTGGCTCTTTTTACTTTGCCATTACAGTCATCACCACCATTGGTAAGTGGATATAATTCTTATGTCTTTAGAGATGAGAGGTACTGATTTAATCTGTTGCTACAGTTGAGAATTTAAAATTGTTTCTCCATAAATGCAACATTAAAGGTTTGTTTAAATTGCACGCTAATACAACAACAACAAAATCGATCTATGCCTTGCTATATTATTCCTCACAGTGTTCCTCTCATTTCCACCTCTCTGCATTAAGGTTATGGACATGCAGCTCCAGGCACAGATGCAGGGAAGGTCTTCTGCATGTTCTACGCTGTGCTGGGCATTCCTCTCACTTTGGTCATGTTCCAGAGCCTGGGAGAAAGGATGAACACATTTGTCCGCTATCTGCTCCATAAGGTGAAGCAGTGCCTGGGCTGTCGCCGCACCGAGGTGTCCATGGAGAACATGGTGCTGGTGGGCTTCCTGTCCTGCATTGGAACACTGTGTGTTGGGGCTGCAGCCTTCTCACACTTTGAGAGATGGAGCTTCTTCCACGCTTACTACTATTGCTTCATCACACTCACCACCATTGGCTTTGGGGACTTTGTGGCCCTGCAGAAGAAGGAGGACCTCCAGGAGAAAACCCCCTACGTGGCATTCAGCTTCATGTACATCCTGGTGGGGCTGACTGTCATCGGGGCCTTCCTGAACTTGGTGGTGCTTCGCTTCCTCACCATGAACACTGAGGATGAGCGGAGAGATGCTCAGGAGAGGGCCTCGCTGAAGAGGGACAGAGGCCTTATAGATGGCTCTCTGAGTCTTCATGTTGTAGAACAGAGCAGAGGCAACTACAGAGAGAGGAACAGGAGCAACGCGGTGCAAAGTCGAAGCCACAGTACGCTCTTCCTCCCGATGGAGGAAGGAACCAGCCGCACTAACCTCATTGCTACCCCAGCGGAGGACCAGGAGAGAAGAAGCCCCTGCAGACACAGGCTGCGTTTTCAGATCAAGGCAGGCAGAGACAGGCCGGAGTCGAGCCTCAGCTCCCTCTGCTCCTGTGTGTGCTACCGTTTGGGGATTTGTGATAGTCCTCTTTTGTCCCACGGTGAACACCACGGCTGCCATCTCAACTCTGTGTATTATAACTCAGTGTCCTACAGGATCCAGGGCTGCTCACCGGGCTCCAGGAACAACACTGGACTCTCTTCCCCAGGAAGCACGCTCTCTCCTGGGCACAGCTTCCGCGAGTTCTCTCGTTTGAGGAGAAAGTCGATGTAAAGAGCACCACAGTGTTTGCACAGACTATATATACAGTATTTTCAATGAACCTTCATTTTGTGTCACACCTTGTTGCATGTCAGAAGACACGGGTTCTGTTAAACGAATAAGTTGTCTTTTGTGGCTATTGAAGATATTTATTTTGTTAGGCAAAGGTTACATTTCTTATCTTCCTTAACCATCAGATTATTTATGTTAGTGATTCTGCTGTGTTCCTGGCATGCTAGGGGAAGTAAAGTGCATGCTAAAGAGAATGTCAAGCACACAATGTGAATGCATGAGTGCTATAGATGCAAACAGATGGGCTTTTAAACTACAGTTTTAACAACGGTTTTTGGATTTAGTGTTTATTAATGACTGTATTACCTGTTCAGTTCTGGTATGTAAAATATCCTCAGTGGACTGCGCTCCTGCATCAGAAAACATCACTTTTCATGCCATAGCTAGAAGATGTCATTTTACTTTTATATAAAAAAAGCCTTAAATATCTTTCACCAAGCACATGAGATATGTGGCTTCTTAGCTCAGTGAATTTATAAATCTTTTATGACCTATTATTGAAGGGGGGCAGAATAACTTTAACGTGCATTATTCAGCATTAATGCACTCTATGAAGAGATTATGATTGTTAAATGACTGATTCTTATGTGATGGATGTAGCACAAAACCCATATGTAGCAGATTGCAAGTAAACTTCCAACAATTCTGGAAACAATTGTCACTTTCCGACGAGGGAGGTGTTCCCATGCATTTAGTTTGTAGTCAGATTTGATGTGACTCTCTTATAGCATTGTTTTATTAAACAGAAGGAAAGTACCATTGTGTGGTTTTATTTGAATCATTAGGCCAAAGGATTTAACAGCAAACCTGTATGAGGTTGTTTGTCTTGTTTTCTCTGTTGTCTTCTGTTATGTCTGTGCTTTAATCAACTGGATTATTTAGTAAAGAAAACATAGGACTGATACAGATAGAGAGAGCAGGAAAGTCACTGATGATTACCCATTGATTTGGGGATTTACACGTTCAAATTCGAGATGTGAAGGGCCAAATGTGGTTGAAAAGAGAATGTTTTTAGACATTATTTAGCATAAAACTGTTGTTTTAACCACATATTTATATATAATTAAGACATGCTTCGCACTTAAATGTAGTTGTTGATATGCTGTTGAAACAATGTTTATATATAACCACGTTTGACCATGAAGTTTGACATTTTTTTATATGCAACTCAGCAAATCAGTGCTTATTGCAAAAGCACCAGTGGTGGGGTGTAACAAAGTACATTTACTCAAGTATTGTGTTTGAGTAAAAACTTGGGATACCTGTACTTTACTTAAATATTTCCATTACATGCCTTTTTCTTTTCGACTGATATTACTATAATTCAGAGGTAAATATTGTACTTTATGACAATGACTGCATTTATCTAAACAATGTTGTCACTTCTTACTTTACAGATTCAGATGAACAAAAAAACGAAGCTTCTCATAACATATGTTGGTTGTTAGAATAAACTACTCAGCAGTATATAAAGTAGGTCAACTTATCTGCATCTTGACCAAAAGTAAAATGCTCTTTAAACATAAATGCATCAGAAATATTTATTTAAAACATTGTAACGCTGAGTGCTTTCACATGTGATGTTTTCAGTGCATTTCGCTAATAATACTTTTCCTTTGGTGAGATAATCAACGAAATTCGAGTGTATCATCACTGAAGTATTGCTACTACTTATTGCAGTATAAGGACCTGCATATGATCTGCACTATTGGAGACTGATTTCACTCTGGGATGTGGGCTATACAGGAACCTCTGTTTGATCTAAAACTAAATAATACAATGGCCATAGAGGGAACAAAAAGAAATACCTCCATTCTCAAGTGTAGCAAACACTATTTCAAGCCATTACACATGACACCTTCTCTACAGTCACAAGAGGAAATCACATCATTTGACTTTTAGCGTCCGCACATTGCCTCCAATTTCCTATTTCAAAATCTGTTTTTTGGTTGAAATGAGAAAAGGAAATCATGAAGTCTTTAAGTGTCCCATAGCATACCTTTCCAGCCATCTGTTGATCAGCTGGAATAGTAAGCTACTTTACATATAAATGTAAAACTGATTGGGCAATAGAATCTGAAAAGGTGATTGGATAGGAAATGCCATCTGCTGTGGCTGCTTGGGGACTGAATGTTTCCTCTCTTCCTGTCACATCACATGCTCCTAATTGTGTGCAACAAGTCAGGTTATTCAAAGTGTTTCTTATATACTGGGTTTGCATCAACCTGTGTGACCGCGTCACAGAGAAAAAGTAGAATTAAGTTACAATAACTTTGGAAAGGGGGCCCTCTACAGGTGAGAGCACTATTTGGGGAAATGTGAGAAACTGAAAGTCAAAAAGACTGATGTAAAACATTTAGCCACTAGAGGGCAGTATGTGCCCATTCAGAAACAGTTAGCGTACTATTATTCATCCCTGTGTTCATCTGTAAAAATCTGATTTGATTCAGAAACAATGAACAGTACTTTTATATATTAATGGACATCGTTGCCTTCCACCCTCTCTGAGCAGGAATAATTGGTCCATCAGAGTCTAAATCTGCAGCCTCATGTTGGCAGTGACCTGTTGATCTCAAGTCATTACCAAACTAGTTCACACATAATGATCACGAGAAAGCAGACTTAAAGTCAAGTTAATTATATTTATAAAGCCTCATCATGACACCTTCTTTCTCTAGACCTACAATTCAGACAAAAACCCAATTACCAGGAAACAAGAACTGAAAGATACCTCCGGAAGAACAGTGCAGGAATTTATTTAACATCAATTGCATAACAGATGTAAATCATTTTGATGGTCGTAAGAAAAACAACAATGTGCAGGGATGAGAGAGGGACAAAGAGTTTACATTTAACACAGCGATAAGGCCTTCATTCATGGTGGTGCGCACTCTTCTAGGTGAGTATCTGGAGTGCTCCCACAATACAAATGTTGTGTCTGTTAATTACTTCATTGTGCATGTACGCATGTTAAACATATATATTTTAATAGTTTTTTAGCTGTTAACTGTGTCAACTCTTGCAACTAAGGAGGTTTTTGCTACATGCCCACGCTCAGCAGCAGCATAACGAATCTAACATGAGATGGTTTAACATCTTTGGTAGCAGAAAGAAAGCTAGGATACAGTGAATTCTGAAAGGACATTTTATTGGCCCTCACTGGCCGAGGTCCCTCATCCTTCTAACTGTCAGGCACCACTGTGTCAAAGACAGAGTTAAGGATAAATACAGGTGTTACTCTGGTTTTAGAGGATTCATCTACACTGCTGCAATTGATGCTGACATTATGCACAGACCATTTTCTCATTGGTTGGCCTTTGTTTCCATAATTTCATCAAATAATCAATATCTGTCAAATCAACATTTGTAGCTATCATTTTAACACTAATTCGGCTATATGTTCATACTGAAATTAATCGATTGAAATATACATTTTCTGGGAACCGGGTATCATACCAACTGCCTGAGTGGTACAAAATGTTTTGGCACAAAACCAGGACACAATTAGTTTACATTGATGGATTACAGCGGAGATGCTCAAACTTTTAAACCAGAGGCTTAAAAGCGGCAAATTACAGCCATTGCTGTGAATGGCCACTTCCATGTTAGTCTCCTTTCAGAGCATATGCTGCTGCTCATTCCATTTTTTCAACTGTTCATTATTATCACAGGATTTAGCATTGTATCCCAAATGGTAGAAATCATGCTGGATGAAGTGCATTGAAACAGAGAGGTGATCTTTCTTTCCTAAAACATGAGTGTGAACCCACTCAAATCCTCCGTGGTGACAGAATAATCCCTTCATTTTATGTAGCCATTTTATCTTCACCCAAACAATTTTAAGATTTGCGAGTTTTCCATGTGGGACACGGATCAAAGTCAAGTGCTAAATAAAATCAATGATCTTGAAAAGGATAACTAAAGAGACTCGTCAGAATGGGAGCTGGTGCTAGTACTCCGTGGAGAGATAATTATACTCTTCTGAGGACTATTTCAAATTAATTTGAAATATAAAAATGTAGTCTGTTGGGAGGTAACATTAAGCCTTCTGTTATTCATCGAATGTATTTCATCCCCCTCCCCTGTAAAAGTGAATTAATAGTTAGCATTTTCCATGCAGTCGATGTATCTGTCACTTTTGTATGTGTGATAATGATCATTTTACCCTCACATATACAGTATATCCACATATTTAGCATGTCTACAGATGACTACATACTATATCTCATGACACAGAAAATGGGACAGTTTTATAGTATCTGTTTTGTCTAGCAATTGTTGGCTGCTAGAAAAAAATGCTTCAATGGCTCTAAAACCAAATCTTTGTTGGCATTGTTCAACAAAATCAGATGTTTTTATTGAAAGATATGACACTGGTGATCGGAAATGTGTGCTGCATCCCACAGCCTTTATTTATTCATCAAAAAGCAAACATTACAACAGGGTTCTTACACCTTTTCCAAAGTCAAATTCAAGCACTTTTCAAGCATTTTCAAGGTGCATTTTCCAGCTTTTCAAGCATCTTACAGCTGTTGTAAATTACATATTTATATACACATACTCAAATGATTATTTCCCTACCTCTCGTTAAATCAGATGTTCTTTATGCTATAAACAACCAAATGTGTGTTTTGTGATAGCCTTCTACACGAGGATGAACAATTAAAGAAAAGAAAACTAAGTTTAATATTTCAAAATGAGTGACCTGTACGTAGACTAGGCCTCCCATATAACCTGTCTGAGCCGATATAAAACAATCAGCCAAATAACTTTTCAATACATTATTGATTACTATTTTTGAGGTACTTTTAGGTTGCAAGTGAACATAAGTCAGAGGTACATGGTGTACTTCTACTCCACTACAGTTCAGAGGTACATGGTGTACTTCTACTCCACTACATGTATTTAATCCCTTTAGTTACTTCACAGATGTGGATGAATGATGTGAAATATAACCAAGTGTTAAATCAGACTTCAGTTCCACCTGGAGTAAATCCACCAGCTACCCTGCAGTATACAAAGTCATTCAAACTAGCTGCACCTTTACCAGCTTTGAGAACACTTTCATGATCAATCATTATAAAACACATCATATATATTATTCTGAAATAAACCAATCTGCTCAATCACTACTTTTACTGTCGCTACTTTCACTATATTTTGATGAGAATACTTTTCTACTTTCACTTGAGGAACATTTTTGAATGCAGGACTTTTACTGTGACAGAGTATTCATACACTCTGGTACTTCTACTTTTACTAAGTACAAGATCTGAGTACTTGTACTTTTACTCAAGTACAAGATCTGAGTACTTATTCCACCTCTGGTAGTGTATTAGTCTGAATTGTAGCTACAAAATCACGCAGAGCTGCATAAAAATAGACTCACAATGGTAACAAGTGGAAAATAATATTTACTAATGTGTACAATGATTTGTAGGTAATTTTGACTACTCAAGACACCTGACTTATACATCTTCAAAGGAAGACTGTGTTCATTCTACAATTACATGGGATTAAAGCAAAATGTAATTTTACTTGTATAATACTTCAATTTTATATAAAAGACAGTTTGCTTTCATCTGTTTTCAAATAAACAAAGTCTTGGCTTTCAGAATATTAAATTTGTTTCGGCAAATTCAGATGATAAATACAACTTTGAAGCTTGTAACAGCATTAATTACAAGCAGAGAACGGACTAATGTAACGTCACAGCAAGCATAACAACAGCCGGTGTTTCATGTGAGTGTTTCCCC